GAGCCTGGCTACAACAATTCCGAGTCGGGGACCCAATATACTTCTACGAATCTGTACTGAATCCCGGTACAATGAAGAAACTGGCACTGCCATGGCAGTCACAATACAGGATAATCGAGCAGCTGTCACGGGTACGCTTCCGAATCTGCAAGAACGGGTCAGCCAATTCCAGAATTGCACACATAGACAACATACGGCCAGCACACTTCACAGCCAAAGCAAGGCAATCACACAATAAACCACCCGAAACAGAAGAAAGAGACACGAGACGGAGATTTGATAGGCGGGTAAAACAAACCTACTGAGAACTAAGAGACGAGTAGAGAGGGAGACAACAAAGCAGAGAGACAGGGAAGGGTCGGAAACGTAACGCGCATAGATAACGAGAGAATAAAGAAAATATAACGACAGAACAGAAAGAGAGCAAAAGTGTACGTAGTAAGAAAGTGTATATAGTAAGAAAGGGTATATAGTAAAATAGTCAGACCACACGGGAGGGGAATAAAAGAGAAAGCACAGTCAACGTTTCACACATTTTCTTGCAGACGCATAGGAATCATGATGGTAATGATTTACGCAGCAGCTGCAGCACACACTCAACCGATTCACATCCCAGGAATTATCATGATCCCGGAAATTTAAGCCGGCATCACAGAAAGCACGTGGGCACTAGGCTTCACGATCGACTTGACAGAAATCAACGCGAGTATTGAGGCAGTAAAGAATACACTCATCGCAACAGCAATGACAGTAAAGAGCGACGGACACCCATTTGTGATAACGACGCGACTAGAGGGATTTTTCCACGACCACCATCACTGGCTACAGCTGAAAGTCGAGCACTTGGCAGAAGTATTCGAAGGAATAAACTTTGTTAAACTTTACCAGGCTACAGACGGAAGCAAACACCAAGGGAATAACAAGGCTGGCCAACGCCACACAACAGATGGCCTGCACGATAGGACTATTGGAAGCAAGAATGAAATATACGAATATCTTAGTGACGACCGACATCATACGAGTAATAGATATCATCGGAACCTACCACGAATTCATGAATCACAGAAGCACGTTGACAGGGCTCACACAAACAATCAACGACTTACTAGCTCATGCCCTCTCATCCACATTACTCGCGCCTAAAGAACTATACCAAGCCCTTACCCACATAAAGCAGCAACTCCCGCCCACGTTTGAACTCCCGTACTCACCATCCACACAACTATTCCAATATTATACATCTTTGAAAGTACAGCTGATACCAGATAACGGACGTTTCAATATTCTAGCACTGCTGCCCTTACAACAGTTACAAGGGGATTTTACGATATATCGGCTAGTAACTGTCCCGATTTTCTTGCCAAATTCAACGGCGGCGGCCTACTACCAGCTGGATAACGTGTATATGGCTGTTTCGGACGACCAGGCAGACTACATATACTTAACACCACAGGACGCACAGCAGTGTATTCAACAGAAGATGCCGGTCTGCCAACTACGCAGCCCCATCTACCAGACAGTACAACGAGCATCATGCGAGATGAATATTGACAAAAAGGACGGCAAAGCGACAGCCAGATTATGCAGAAAAAGAATCAGATTATCCGCACGTGCGACACCGACAACGATTTACGTTGTACAAGGAATATGTATAATTTCAACACTGTACCCGTTTATGCTCACCATGACTTGTACGACGACAGGAGCCAAAACAAGAACAATAAGACATAAAGATTCTAACCTACAAATTTCTCACACTCAAATCAGGATGCGCAGTCATCTCGGCGTATTTCAAGCTTCCAGTCTACTACCATCAAGCATCAGACACAGCGTTAAAGTTCAACATAACACCAGACGAACAACCGAAGAACGTAACACTGGCGATATGGGGCGAGATTATAACGAATAAGACAACACAGGGACAAGACAACTTCCAGCTACCTACTACCGATATACTTCCGAAAGACTGGCACGCCGCGTCAAATGACATAGACCTACCATTCGAACACCTTGAGCAAGCAATAAAGAATCACAAACCACTGACAATGAATCCAGAGGGACTCCCGAAGATGAAGGTGTCTACGCACAGTATGTCGGGAGTACTGTATGGGCTACTAACCGTAGCAGCATTCACAATAATCGCATACTGCGGGTGGAAACGTAAGTGGTGCAAAACAGCCCACACATGACAGGCACAGCAACCACAGCAACAGCAACAACAACATCAACAACAGAATGAGACAACACCGACCGCAACAGCACCGGTATACCCAAGATTGGCACCCCACGAACTCACCTTCGCGTTGCTACGACAAGACACTTACACAACAATAGACGGAACAGAAGACAGACAGGAGAGATATAGCATCAAGCACAGCTTTGAGGGGAATAGGTTAACACTATACTAGAAACATCATCAACACAACGCAGGGGCCTATTCATCTCAAAGCCAAGATAAACAGAGAACAAGTGCCGCAGAGCGACAGCGCTCAACTGACGTGTACTGTAGCCAGGTATTCTTCTGATAAACTCACAGGCAACCGAATCAAGTGCGCCCTCCTGCCACCGCGTTCGCGCTCAAAGCATATATCTAGGATACTACTAATACAGATCTAAAATCTATGATAGGCTTTGCTATACCAACTGGTAGTACAGTAATAAAGATATAGCTGTGTAACTTTAATGACGCCGCTATATTAACATGTTAACATGGATATGCCTCGAGCGCGAGCGTAGTGGTGGTGGTGGGGGAGGGTGGGGGAAGGGGCGGGTTGAAGGGGGCTCTAATAGCAAAAGCAGTTGTCCTTTGTTAACAGTCAACAAATCCATGTTCAACCCTCCTCTTGAGGGTCAAAAGGTTATCAGATACTTACTCTTCGCAGGTCAGTGGAAAGCACATTTCATGGTCCTTTCAATAAAGTGATAAAAACGGTAGGTCAGCGCTGAAACAAAAAAGTTTTGCACTCGGTACGTTAGACCATGTCCTCAGAAAATGTCTGATATCTGACCTTTCCCCCACTGCCCTTTGACCTGTGACCTCCAATTTCGCGCTGGTGATGGGTTTCCTCCCCATCACACTATACATCGAATATTAAGAGCATAGGTCAAGCCGTTGAGATTTGTGCCGCAATTCCGTATTTCTTCCTATACCTTAAGTTAAGGGGGAAATATTCCCCCTCCATTAACACATCTTGACCTTTGACCCTTGACCCCCCAATCCGACATCACCTTTTCGCGAACGCCCTCCCCCCAACGTCCCGAATATCAAGACCGTACGTTGAGCGGGTAAGATTTGTGCCCAACTGTTGACGGACGCACGGACGGACGGACAATCATGCGATTATACAAGCTGCATCTGACTTCGTCAGCTGAGCTAAAAAAACAAAAGCTCGTGAGGACACAAGAATGGTACGTCACTTCAGGAAGAGGGGCCCAGAACAAGGCACGGACAGGAACGTGAACACTATTACGTCACTGACCACTGGTCAACACCAGCCAAGCGATGGAGTTAAAGGGACAGTAGCCTCTAGAATTTTACTGCATACAACTGTACTTACTGTATAACAAATCGTCTATACCCACACGTATTTGTTACCAGATACCTAATTTTATTGTTATAATTAATTACACATCAACGCTACAAAATTTGAACAGCGGGTGGCGTTCACCCGCATGACACCCGCACCCACAGCATGACACCCGCGACCGTGCTGCCACCCCCAAAAAGTTGCGTATTTGACAATTTATTTTGCACGTTACAGACCGAGGGCTAATCACAAAAGTGCAATTATATGTATACCTAAATGCTATTTAACCGAACGATATTAATTTTAGGGCAAATTTATCCATATTATAACTGAAACTATATGTCGTTTATAAGATCATACTACAATCCTTTTGCTTTTAAATGAATAAATAAGAAACACCCTCGGTCTGTAGCCCTTGGCTGGAAAGTGGTATTGCACAACTTATCAGATTGTGCGCTTTGAGTGGCGCCACCGTCGTTGTAATCAAACTGTAGTCGTTAGTTTTAAAACATTTTTTAATAATATTTCTAATGGTGATTGAACCATGAAACTTTTTATGTAGCGTAATTTTAACCTAAATTAACTGAAAATAACCCTAGAACCTAGAGTAAACGATCCCTTTAAGCAAGAGCAGCTAGTTCGTCTTTTCGTCCCGTCTTTTTCAACCCCCTGTCCGCTAAAAAATGCTTCAAAGCATCGGCTTTCCATCATAGAGAATCATCCAGTGTCATATCATCGTCATTTGCGTCAGCCATAACCAATATCAGATACTAAGACGAAAACTCAGACCGAAAACGTTACTTTTCCACAGTTTATACAGCGCTGCGTTCGCAACAGTACTTGTTCATCCCGAATAACCTTTTACATTTCCCATGATTCGTTGTCCGCGCGAGATACCAAACTCGATTATTGGGAGTAGGCGAAATGGGGTTAGACCGACTGGGAGTTTTGCTATAGACGAAATGGGAGTTTATTCCAGTTTGTGTTTATCATGTTGCCAATGATTTGGGTTTATGGTTACCTGGTACTGGTACCCACCCCAAGTTAAGTTCACACTTATTCTGTCGTAACTATGAACTAAGAACATGTAAACACAGAAATTGGGCCAGGTGGTAATTACACACAAGTTCTGAGAACTTTTCACAGCAACTGGAGATTTATCAAAACGTGAATGATAAAGCAAAGCATGGCTACGTGTGATGTGTGACTGTAGTGTACTTTCCAATGTATTTTACATGTGCCAGTAGAGACAATGAGTCAATTAAATGAAACTGTGACTTAGCTATGTAGCTATGTAACACCCACAGAGCTAAACACTAATGTTTTTTTTAAATTGTGTAACATAATTCTATGCACATTAAACATGGACGCCAGATATATGTGCTATGTGGATTTTCTAGGAGCAAACAGTACTAACTGGTCTGTTTGATGACACATGCCGAGATTAATTACGTGTATGTGTAAACAACACACCTGCATACGAATTGCAGGACTTGAAATAGCTAACAACAGGTCAGCTTCAACACTGGACAACTGGAAGATGTCTGAAACTGAGCATACGAGCGTTACATCCTCCCTTTCAATTGAGGCTAGTTGCACCTTCTTCTCCTCTTTATGCACAATTCCACGCTTGTCTTTGACATCATCCAGCAGCTTGAGCAGAATACCCTGAAAGTTTTCATTCCACATTAATAATTACATTTTTTGCATAGGGTAATGAGATCAACATTCAAACAATAAGCAATTACATTATTATAATTAACAATAAGTACATTAGGAAAACATGCTTTTAGTTCATAAACCCTTATCTTATGAAATTAGGCTCAACGGGTTAACAGTTGGACACATTGTACTGAAAATTTTATTATTGCTACATTCATTGCTACTGTGCAGTGATAACAATTGTCCTTAGTACACAGTTCACATGGATAATTACTTCATACATGAATTTTCAATAATTAACCAGTCAACCTCCTAAAAGCGTATAATCACATATTTTACATTGCTCTTGGATTTAAGAGTATATTATACTTATTGCATCACAAATAGAATATGTCTACAAATCTCCATTATGAGAAAATCAGGTTTATTCGTACAGATATCAAAGATCCAGAGAGACATGATACAAGATTGCGTTGCACAGCTTTGCTGTTGATCCCAAGTGCTGCGCGCGGATGAGACGCGCAGTTCCACAGGATATGCGCACGCGACCGCGGGGATGTTCAAGTATGAGGCGCTGTCCGCAGTGGAGACATGCGCCAAATTCGAGGCACAGCGCACGTCTCCACAGTGGTCAGCAGATGGTCTGTATTTTCAGAAGATAACAATGAAGACTTTGTTCTAAATAAGAACTATCGGTGGCTAAATATGAGTAATATACGGACCTTTGAATTTCTTTACTAGTCAGTCAAAGGGCTTGTTGGGGGTGCATTATGCAGAGCTTCCAATTGAAATGGCCCATTAAATTGTCAAGTGGAATTGTGTTTTTCGGAAAGCCAAAGAAAATGGCTGACTCTTACATATGCACCCCTCCCTGATCAATCACGCATTCAGGTGGAAACAATAACAGAGATATGAAATTGTGTTGAGTTTGTGGCTCTTGAGGCGCATGCATTCACGTACAAGACTGTTGAAAGCACAGGCACTTGGAGCGTCTCAATACAAAATGAAAGTGTCAATGACACTATAGCTCATCTTGGGTGTGATAGAAGAGGGAGATGATATTTACAATTTGGTAAGTGTTTCATTTATAAAGGACCGAAATGTGATCAAATATCCTTATTCCTTGTTTTATACTAATAGAAGTTTTTTTTCAGGGGTAGTTTTGATGTAAAAATAAATGTTTCAGATCTGAAAGTCTGAAATCTGGGTGAGAGATGGCGCTACGCCTAAATGATCGTCATTTTGGTTTTCGATTATCGCGCAAATAACAGCAATAAAATATTCCAGTCAAATTACTGTAACGAAGAATCTAAAACACAATCTTACACGTAGGTATGATTAGGTAGGCAGGCAGGCAGGTAGGTAGGTAGGTAAGTAGGTAGGTAGGTAGGTAGGTAAGTAGGTAGGTAGGTAAATTTAACAAAATCGAATGAATGTAGATGGCCATTTTCATTATTGCCAAAAAGTGGGCGTGGCTTGAAACTAAGTCAACTGGCGTGCTCCAAAACAGGACGTTCACATCTCTCCCATAGGGGTAACAACTGTATGCAATTTGAAACATGTGGGTCAAACGGGTCTCAAGTTATCGTTGACCGTAGCCAAATGTTGACATACGGACTGACGAACGGACGGACGGACGGACGGACGACTCCCCATGGCAATGGCTCATCTTGACGATGTCAAGGTGAGCTAAAAATGATGGTAAACAAACACGAAATGTATTGAATTACTACCAAAGTCTTAATGGTTCTCTATATGTACTCTCTTTCGCTTATTATTGCCGATAACTTCCTGTAAATGGCGTTCAAATGATCCTCAGCAACACACTAGTACTAGTAGGGCGTACACCGCACGTGTGCCACTGTGAACAATAACAACCAGATGAGACGGGATACCAGAGAAGTGTTGCCGAAAGGTGGTGTTGATCCTAACCGCTGAGCGCAGATCTTGCGCGCAGTTCCGCGGCAAGGCACACGCGACCGCGGGAACGTCCTACAAAAGTATGCAGCGCTGGCAGCTATGGATCCGTGCACCGAATGCATAGGTCAGCGCACAGGTCCATAGCTGCCAGCGAACAGTCCGGAATTTTAGCGGGGGACACAGAGAGCAGACATTTGGGACGTGGGAGGAACTCGCTCGCGACTTAGATGGGGGTCGTACAGATGGGGGGGGGCGAGAGCGAAGCTTTTGATTTCACTGTGGTTCCGTTTCGGTGTGGTCTTAGGCGTTTTGACTATAAGTTCCAAACATAAAAACTTGGAAACATAATAAAAATCAGACCATTATTTAATGGAAAATTTGATAAAATAGTGATACGAAATAGTACGCGGATTGTGCGCCCAGTTACCTCTTTCAAATCATACGCTGTTTAACAATCGCCATTAGCTGCATTTCCCCGGAGCTCCGCCCACTTTAAAAATAGTGCTAGCATTGTGGCAGTGGTATCCTGAGTGTACGAACGAGTTAGTATTTCGATTTTCGATTTTCGATGACAGCAGTAAGGCGAAAGTGCAGCATTTGAATCCAGCTTACTTCATTTAGTGTTAGGGCTAAAAAGAGGCCGTTTGGTTCACATTCTTCCAAAAGCACCAAATTTGGTCCAGATGTTGCCCATACTATACTTTTTCGATTTCTGGCGGGCGCAAGAATGGGTGCCCCCGGGGCCGCCATATTGGCAAATTCGAATATGGCCGCCACCCGGGTTGGGGGGCAATCTAGTTAAACATCCAAAAAAGCTATAATCATAAATAATACCACTTTTTAGGGGTTTCCAAGGTCTGGGAATCTGATTCTGATCTTACTTCAGTGATTTGAGGTCAATGTCACCCTGAAGGTCATTTTGGGGTCAAATATGTCATTTTTTAGTGTTTTTTTGTCAATATATACAAACAGCACCTCATTTTATCGGTTTCCGGTGTTTTGTAACCCGAATCTGACCTTATTTGAACAATTTGAGGCAATATTGCATGTCAGGGTCACGATAGAGGTCACCCGATTGAGAGGTGAATCGTACGTCAATTATAGGTAAAAACCCAAAAGTGCTAGAATCAGACATAATACCACTTTTTAGGGATTTGTGGCCTCTGAGAATCCGATCCTGATCTTATTTATAAGATTCGAAGTCAAGGTCGCCTCTCAAGATCACCCTAAAGGTCATTTTGGGGTCAAACCCAGTAACAGTACTGTCATTGTGGGGTACCCACCAACAGCCATCTCAAGGTCTTCACAACCCATGATGTGAATAATATAGATTGCAAGGCTCAGGGTAACTTCTCACTGGATGAGTTCCACGGATACGCCATGAGCGTGACCAACCATCTCTCGCACAAGAATCCTGGAGAGAAGCGGGCTCCCATCAAGTTTGACCCTTCCGACACGTCAACTCCAAAGCTACCAGACTCATACACGATCCAACCCCCAGTCGAACTCACTCAAACATGTCTTTGCACTCAGACTCTGCGACATCAGAACACCCCTTTATGTGCAAGGCGCCAAGGTCAAGGATGAGGCGTGGATGGCGCATGTCACTAGGGTGCTGAAGCAAGGCATGATTGCAGAGGGCGACATCATCACATGGTTAGGATACAACTCGTTACTAGCAAGCGATGAGTCGGTGAAGCCCCCTGCCGAGATCGGCATCTATACCCTTTTCCCAGACAAGGCTGCATCTACATCGTCAATGAAGCACGCGATGGAGCTGACGATACAAGGCACTAAGTTCCTCAACCCGGGCCAGACCAGTGTTCTTGGTGCAGATCAGCCACTATATGCTCTCATCAAACTCGTGCAATAGCAATTCCCCGACACTGTGGGAGAAGATAAGTTGGTTGTTGTGATGGGCGCTCTGCACATCAAAGACAAGATGCATCTTATGATAGGCAAGTTGCTGCGCGACTCGGGGTGGGCCACCATCCTTTCTCAGGCGAGGTCCTGACATCTCTGGTCGCGCACAGTCTTTACTCAATGAGCATCACATCAAGCGCACAGGGTATGCCCATCAAGTCTCCCTCATGTCGCTTTACCTATTCAAGCAGACCGCTACTCGGAGTATTGCGAGAATGTAATGGGCCCACCTGAGTCATTCGATATGTGGAATCAACTTGTGTTTCATCAGGCAAGTATCCTTCGCTACACTGAAAAGGGGTGTGCAACTGTCGAGCTGGTACGAGTCTAGCCGTTAGGCGGGTTATAACCGGTTAGCGCCGGCTGCCCGTGCTGCACAGGATACGAGGCTATATGCATATAGACTGGTACCCGGTCGACAGTTCCAGATGCTACACTACGTGAGCGTAGTGATATGCCAGAGTGAAGGTGGCGAACGGGTACCAGCTAGTCTACTATGCCTATAGCCTCGGCCCAGGCTGCGCCGTCTATGGCACGCCATATGTACTAGACTCATCAACAACAAACAGAAGAAACTTCAAATCCGTTTATTACAGCAAAGAAGGCGCGCCTAGTAGCGAACAAAGAATTGGGAGCATTTCTAGCAAATGTCGAGGTACGTGGGTAGTTGAATCCGTCGTGCAACCGCCAGATTTGCTCAATTCAGCGATTATATGGCTTCGGCCTATACCCAAAGGGACTCGTGCAAGGGGTTGGAAATAGGGCAGCGAAGTTGAGTAAGAGTGCCGCTACGCGGCGTTTTCGCGCTTCGCGCAGATATCCGGCTGCAGATTGCCGAGCATGCCGAACGACCCGTGCACGTAAATAAACCCTGGCCAACACAATGTAAGGTTCACTGCCACTGGCCAAAAGGAAGCTCCATGCAGCCACTTCCTATCGATTTTTGGTATGCCAACGCTGCTAGTCTGGACGTGATGCGGCCATGATGCCGAGGCTCGCCGAGGATTGACACTTTGTGTCTTCCAATCACAGTCTACGCCGCGCCTCTCTATTATAACTTCTAGGTATAATACCATTAGAGAATGGTATCGCTGATCTCAGGAACTAGGGCATTCTGCTAGGCTAGAATGGTTTCCTACGATAGAGTTTGGCACAAATACGAAAATAACACGCTGTTTAGCGCACTGCGCTAGGTCTTTCTGTTGCATTTTCGCATCTCCGTAAACAGAATAAGCCCCGCCTTCTTCATTGATGGACATGAATGGGGCGTGACCGACGTTACCGGTTCCTGTACCTACCGTTTTTCGACGGCCTATTTACGTTTCGTAAATAATGAAATGCCTGGCCGATGCATTTCGCATTGAAGAGGAAAATTTTATGCATTTTCACTCGCTGTCGGAAGTGAACGAGTGCATTTTTCATTGAACATTTTTCATCAAAATACAGCCAATGTTTACATGCCACAGCGCCATTTCTTGGATGTTTTATAAGTAAATATGGGGATTTTTAATAAAATAATTAATGCGTTTTTAATGTATTTACCATGATTTACGTATAGAAACTATATGTTATTTTTACTGATTTCTCCGTATCTTTCCTTGGAATTTTCATCGTCTTTCAATGCCTTTCCGTAGATCTTTCTGCGTTTTCTGCGTGATTATTATTTTGCGCAGGCACTCATTTTGGAAATCCTCCAATATTTTTACTTCTTCCTTAGTTAAGTTGGTCCATGTTTCACTGTTATTTAGGAAGGAAGGTAAAACTGTGCATTCGTATAATTTCACTCTTGCTTCTATAGTATGATTTCCATAATTTTGCTCTTCTGCCCATGATAATATTTCCCTCATCATAAACCTACATTTATCATATCGTTATAACCTGCTATATCATTAATTAAATCCCTTAGGTATGAATATTTGGTGCATTTTTTG